TTATGCTCCTTCATCCATGCAACCCACAGGGAACCGCTACTCGAGAATAATAACCAGACAAGCTTCAGGTTCAACACTTTATTCCACACGAGAAGGTTTCGAAGACCTAAACCACCTTCAGATTTAGGCAAGCAAACCTTGTCCCAAGCTACCTTAGCAGCGGTACGCTTAGTAATATCTCCAGACCAGAGAAAACCATTACACAGTTTTTCCAGATGCTTCAAGCAAACTTTGGGAAGAGCGAAAGCTGACATCCAGAAATTGATGAGACCATAGATAACAGACGAGATTAGCTGCAGCCTCCCAGCAAAAGAGAGGCATTTGACTGCCCAACAGTTGAATCTAGCTGCTACTTGATCAATTAAAGAGGAGTAGTCAGACTTGCGGAGCTTTCTATGCAGGAGAGGAAGACCTAGGTACCTGATAGGGAGAATTCCATGGTTGAAACCAAGGCTGTCCAAGGAATCATCCTCTGTTTGATCAACCCCTGTGTAAAACAGATCGGTTTTATCCTTGTTCATACGCAGCCCAGACAAGGTTTGAAAGGAGTCCAGAGTAAGACTAATTTCCTGTAGAGAAGCAGCTTTCCCATCAAAGAAAAGCATAATATCCTCAGCGAAGGCCAGATGAGTGATCTTTGGAAGAATACCCAGCGGGTGATACCCTATCCTTCCCTGGTTTAACTTGGAGATGAGGAGATTTGAGAATACTTCCATAGCCATAACAAAAAGAGGTGGGGAGATAGGGTCTCTTTGCCGAAGATCTCTCTTTCCCTTGAAGAAGCCACACAATTCACCATTACTTTTAATGGAGAAGGATGTAGTGGTCATGCAGAGTCTGATCCAATTACAAAACACGGGGGGAAAGTCTGAAACTTCAAGGATATGGAGAATAAACTCCCAATTCACTGAGTCAAAAGCTTTGCGGAGATCAACTTTGAGGAAACCTCGAGCAGAAGCAGAACCTCTATTAAACCCTTGGACCATCTCTGTAGCTAGAAGAACATTCTCAACCAACAGCCTTCCTTGAACAAATGCGGACTGGAAGTTGCTAATCATAGAAGGCAACAGAGACTGCAATCTTCTGGCCAAAATCTTGGAGACAATTTTATACACTGCATTACAACATGAGATAGGGCGGAATTCACCAATCTTGTCAGCGCCAACTCTCTTAGGAATTAAAGTGATTGCAGTAGCATTCCACTGCTTCAGGATCTGACCAGAGGAGAAGAATTCCTTAACAGCTCTAATTAGATCATCACCAATAATATCCCAAGTAGCTCTGAAGAACTCACCCGTGTACCCATCTGGGCCTGGGGATTTGTTCCGAGGGAGGGAAAAGACTTCTTTTTTAATTTCAGCATCAGAGATAACAGCCTGAAGTGCCTCTTTTGTTGCAGAATCACATCTAAAAGGAGTAAGGGAGCTAATGAGAGATTTATCATCAGCAAAGAGGGAAGTAGAGGCGGTACAAAGGAGATTGGAAAAGTAATCCACACAGTGATCTTGAACAGCAGCTTTATCTTCAATTCTCAAACCTTCATCATCATCAAGATAGTGAATCTGGTTAATAGCCCGTCTTGTGCTGACCATTCTGTGAAAATAGGAGGAGTTACAGTCACCACTATCAACCCATTTGACCCTTGACCTTTGAAAGAGAAACTTCTCTTCAGCCATAGCCAGAGTTAACCAGTCTTTATGAGCTTTTTTCTCCAGTTCAGCCAGAATTGGAGAGGGATTAGCAAGAAGATTGGACTGAGATTGGGTTAGTTTTGAATGAGCCTCTTTCACTCTATTTTCTAAGTCTAAGAAGTGTTCCTTGTTCATATCCTTTATGACTCCTTTTAAGAGCTTAAGCTTTTTCGAGAAGCAAAACATTGCTGTCCCATCAACAAAAGTATCCTTCCAAAACTCAGAAACCCTTGGAATAAAATCTCGATGCTGCATAAGAAAGTGAGAGACCATAAACGGCTTTTTCGAGGAAACAGAATTACCCATCACTAAGCAGCCAGGACAATGATCCGAAACATCAGGGTCCCCGAAAGTGGCATAAGCCAATGGAAATTCTATAAGCCAGTTGTCGTTTACCATGACTCTGTCCAGTTTTTTAGCAATAGGAGTAGCCTCTCTCTTGTTCCACCAAGTGTAGTTACTCCCTCTGAAAGAAAGATCAGACAAGCCGGCATTCAAGGCGCACTGTCTAAACTCAAACATACCTTTAGAGATCCTGGTGCCTCCTGTTGAATTTTCAGACGGGTGCATTATCTGATTAAAGTCTCCCATTGCAACCCAAGGCTTGGAAGAGATAATTGGATAACTAGCCAACCCTTCAATTTCTTCCCAAAGATTTTGTCTTCCATACTTGCAGTTAACAGCATAAATATAAGAGATAACAACTTCTTTACCGGAGTTTGGTAGATGCACTATACAAGTGATCATTTGACTTGACTTTGAATGAATGGAAAGCCGTACCGACTGGTCCCACACCACCCAAATCCTCTCTAACTCAGCGAATTCATAGTTCCCCACAAAATTCCATCCTGGAAAAGTTGAATTTATGTACTTTTGAGACTTGTGCAACTTCACTTTCGTCTCAATTAAACTACCAAAAGTAGGCCGAAAATGCCTTATCCACTTCTTTAGACTTCTACGCTTGAGAGAGTGGTTTAATCCCCTTATGTTCCAACAAAAGCTGTCTATCATTACTAATGATTTTTAGACTTGGAACCCTGTCCCACAGAGTTCTGGAGCTGCCTCCTTTCTTTCTTAGAGATGACTTTAGAAAATGGAATTTCTACTTCTTCTTCACTGAATTCCTCTTCGCTTGAACTACTCGAAGAAGATGACTCAACCGGAGTTTCTGAACCGGAAGCAGATTCAGAGGAGGAGGAGGAAGCTCTTCCTGCTATCCCTTTCCCCTTAAGATCTTTAGCTACTGAGCTTCTCTTTGACTTATGGTTGACTTTGACGTTTTGAGTTTCCTTTGAAAGAGAGCCCATAGCAACATGGATCTTCAAACTTTTGCCATCACCCTTTGATGAGTGAGACTTCTTCTTCATGTTATCAAGCTTCTCAATCCATTTAGTTGCTGGTACTTAGGATCGAATTTTCTTCTTCTTCTTCTTTGAAACCGGTTCTTTTCGGGGCTCCTGGTCCTTGGCCAACTCTTTCTTAACTCTCGGACAGGAGTCGGAGGCATGAGCAGTCGAGTTGCAGTTGAGTTGCAGTCTAGACATGTTATCAGGGCCGTTGGGCATCGTTTGATACTATGTCCCACCTCCTCACAGTGGGAACAAATTGGAGGGAGCCACGGGCTAGAGACACCAACTCTATGGATTTCTCCTGTGGCGAATTGGACGTTAACTTCTTCTGGGAGAGCTACAGAGGGATTAATTATGGTAAGGACCTTACCAACCTCTAGGTTTATCATATTGATTGTGGAGGGGTGGCAGTAAACTGGTTGACCAAGCATTCCTGCAATATGCTCAAACCCTTCTTCAGAGAAGAAGTGTGGCGGGACGCCGCGAAACTCCAACCAAACAGGGGCTTCAGTGAGCTCAGCATTGTTGGGTTTAGGCCAGGTTCCCAATTAGCTACAAACATTGTTTGGCCTTCAATGTGCCAAAGTCCTTGACTTAGAACCCTCTGGCGAGTGGCAGCATTAGGGATTTTGATAAGTACCGTTCAAACTCCAAGCCTTGAGATGGAGATATCTCGGTATCGATTGCTCCAAATACCATTAAGGATGGCGTGGAGAGCTCCTGGAGAAGGAAGGTTTCCGTGGAATTGGCCAATGATGAAGGCGTCCCATCGTTTTTGGTTGCGAGTGATGACTTCATTGGGGATCTTGACACAAAGCTCTCCAGATTCAAGGGTGAAAGGATCTCCTTTTCTTGACATATTCCCCGAAGGGCCTTTAACCGTATCCACCCAGGAAGGTTTGGATGGGGTTTGAGCTGTCCCTCCGAGAGAGGAGTTAGCAGAATCGTGAATCTGTGAAGTAGATCCAGGATCAGTTTTCGGCAGATCTGAGAGAGGTTTCCCGCTGGTCTGGGTTGCGGTTCCCAAGGTAGAGAGACCGACGACTGGAGCGAGAGGTGCTGGTGCGTGAGGGTTCACCGGCAAAGGAGAACTCTCCTTAGAGGCGGAAGCAGCAGGAGAGGACGGAGGGGGAGGCGGAGGCGGAGGAGAGATAGAAACAGGGAGAACGGGGGGCTGAGAAGCTGGGGGCTTTGAGGAAGGGAGCTTAGGAGGCGGACCCTTTGGAGGGGAGCGACGGGACTTCCCCATCGGAGAGAAAAGAGGGTGGCCGTCACCGGAACGGCAACGGCAGCTTGAAATGAAGGAGTTGCTTTTCACTCTTTTGAGAGAGAAAAAAGTTTTTTTTTTTAAGATGTATTTCGACCTTACTAAGTTACTATTAAGTTCTTACGTTTTTCACTCCCTTTTTGACCTTATAGGCTTGTATTGAGTAATTTGGCTACTGTTGGAACGAGGAAACTTCTAACTTTAACTCAGTGAAAAATGTCGCGTCTGAACGAGTATTCTATTTTCCTCGTTTTCATTATACACTTATGGAATTTTCTTGTTTGACAGCAAAATATATAGACATTATCCCTTTTCGGATTTTTCCTTCTTTTTTTATTTTTTTGCCAAAGATTTTTTCATATTTTTATACATGGAAACTATCTTGATTTTACCATGCAGAAGAGATAATCAACTCAGGGCCACTTTGCCCTTATCCTTTTATTAAATAGTTTTATTTCCCCCCATAATTAAGTCATGAAACTGACTTGCATAGTCCGAACCACTAGATTAGATTGGCATCTCTATACAATTACAACTGGATTATAAAACTGAAATTGAAATTCAACTATAAAATTCAAAGCACGTATGAACCATATAATTCCCCAAATGACATTTCACTGGTACCGAGAAGAATATGATCATGATCATTATAGGTTTTTAAATACATTCGGATAATTCACAAAAAAAGATAAATCAGCATAATTATGGAAAATATATACTTTGAAGAATCTAGACTTTTACATCCAATCCAATGATTAGTTTGAATTACAGATACGATATAATGATCAAGTAAATTTGATATTATGAATTTATGATTAAGCGGAGCTTATCATCAATCTCGTACTACACATGAGAAACAAAGAGCCGCAGTATTCTTGATTCGCCTTTTTCTTTTCTTTTTTAACCAAAGCATAATCTGCAATATTCAAACTCGTGATCTTGAAGAATTTTGTTTATTTATTTATGTAATGATGATGACTAACTGATTCACCGGCTGAGTTTATTTATCATAACCATGTTATTTTCTAATATATATGTACACTTTGAAATTAACAATTTAGTTAGGATATTTTTTAAGTAATTAACATGCAAAGGACTTTTTAGGACGGCATGTAAGAAACAGAATCAACTGATAGAAACTGCAATAATGCCTGATACACACACAGCTGTAACTGGGGCTCACGTTCCCAGCTTGCAATAGACATTTTTTTGTTTATCTTATTCATAAAAAATATAATTACAATACTAATATCATGGAATCTCATTACCCCTCATATAATTAAAGTATAAAAAACAATAAAGTATGCAACATTTCTAAAGGAAAAGTACAATATGGGAGTAAAACTATGTCATATGTTTTTGTTATCCATAAATGCTCTCGTTAATATAACAAAGAAAAGAAATCAACGGCAAGTTTTAATGTCATAGGAATGAATTTGGAATCTTTAAAAAGGACAAAAAAAAAGAAGAAAAAAAAACAACTCATTGTGCAGCAAAACCATGTCTACCTAAATTTGGTCAAAAACATGTTTTACGTGATTATATTTGCCTTCATGAAGTATAGACTTACAAAAACGTCTCAAATAGTAAAGACAGAACGTGGGTAAGTGACAAACACGGTTGCATGTAAAGATAGGTACAAACGCTATATGGACAACCTAGTGCATGCTCAATGAAAGATATACCAAAAATGGCACTTATTTCCTTATGCTCAAGAAACATATGAAATTTGGAATTCAGATTTGGTACTTGGACTAAAGACACAAGATATGGATATGAATTCTTACCTAAGTTTTTAAGGAGTCAAGGAGCAATGTCTTGTTAAAACAAACGAGCTGAAGTGTGCGTCTTTCCAGCATTATCATTTGTTGGAGCGAGTCTCTACTTGTCTTTTCTCCTGATTCTATCTCAAGATTCATATGTTAGCTTATTGAAATAATACTGGTAATAAACAAATTATCCTAGCAAAAAGAATTCAATTTACCTCTGTTTACTTGGTGACGAGCTTGCATGACCTCCTTGTTGGGGTTATATCTAACAACAATTAGTAATTTTTGTGTCAGAGTAACATATTGTAAGAGATATTAGTGAAGAACAGAAAGAAGTATGTGACAATGTTCACCGTACATACTCATTTTCGTCTGAGAGGCTCTTAGCAACGGATGATGAGGTCTCATCTCCCTGGATTTTTGGGTGATTTACTTCTCTGCTTTGCTCATTATCGTTCTCTGATAACGTGTCATTCTCAAAACCGCATGTGCCTCCTGCTAGTTTAGATTTATGGTTTGCTGATAAACAGTTTACATAGTCGTCTTCATCATCATCATCTCCGGTGCCTCCTACTGAAAACTTGGGAACCCATGTTTCCGGAATAGAATCAGGGGCACGAGATGAACGCCAGTGCGAGCTACCAATCTCAGCGTTAAGGAAAGGATATGGCTTGTCCCTCTCACTTGTAATATCTGTGACAGAAGTTAAGGCAGGAATTTACATGTGAGAGATCACCAAGGTAATGATTATGTTTAGGTCTGATCCAAATATATTCTATGGTTCTAGATATAAGATCTCTGCACCGTGGCTTTGGACAGGATGATAGACAAGCCACTGAAGATGTTTCAGAAATATCAAAAAGAGAGACAAACCTGAGTTTATGCCTGCAGATGAAAATCCTTCAGCAAACCAATTGTAAGACTCGTCTAGACCACCTTCTCTCTGACTGGTAGATTTTAACTTTCCTGGGTTTGATAGTCTGACCTGCTTTCCAGACCCAACTTGTCTCTTCATATGTTGATCATCCACATCCCAGTCTTCCCATGATTCTTGGAAAAGGTTATTATTCAGATAATACTTGTCTCCAAGGTTGCGAAACGAATTAGTTTCCCTTTTTCTTTGTCTTGTGTTGGTCTCAAACTGTGAATTGTGGGTTTCATTGGTCCAAACTGACAAGATTTAGGGGGAGTGATGGTTCAATACTTAGGAAGAAACAAATGTTTGCAAAATCTTAGCATGTGATTCACAAGAAATCTTCAGAAAAATCAATACCTGCACTAGACGAGCAAGATTCTTCGCTGTTAAGAATAGTGAGTAGTGTCAGGATTGCAGTTCATTCTATATAAAACATATGAAACCCAATCAGAAACAAAAATATCGCAGATACATACCTACGCAAACTATGGCTGTCTTTATCTTCCTCAGGTACAATGGATGACCAAACCGGTTGGTCAAATACATTGTTAAAATCAAAGTCGGAGGTTCTGAAATAACTAGATGTTATTTTTTAAAAGTTCAATCAGCATGACTTCAAAAATGGCTTGATGCACTTTAAGGAATTGACTTACGCTGGCTTAGCGAAACTTGGATGGTCGATATTCCTTTCTAAAAGATGTGATCTTCGAGTTGGTGAATCTGAAATGCAGAAAAAAACCAAGTAGCAAATAAATAGGCCTAAACCCAGTAATTCCAACAAATACGAAGATTAAATATTTCTCCAACTTCAAACACCAACAATAGAGGAAACTAAGCAATACTGAAAGAAGGTGAAGTAAACTAAAGAGATAGGATTTATAACTTCCAATCAATGATATGAAACAATGAGTCAATGAACTTCCAAAAGACATACGCTTAGATTAGTTATTTTATGAATACAACTAACAGGTCAAATGAAAGTTCTTTGATAACAGAATATATGCAGGTAGGCAGTAGCTGTTATTCCTAATTTAGTTGAACTAAACCCACCTCTAATGTTGGACCTCCAGGTCGTTTCCAGGTAATCCCTAAAACACACAAGACTTTTAATGTCAAACTGCACAATATCACCATCATAAACTGACGAAATGAGAGATTTTGAAGAGCACCTCTTCTTTTTCCTATGGTGTTCTGAAGAAGAGCGACTCTCAGTGTAATCCTTACCATATTTCAGGAAATCAGGGTTCAAACTTTCCTTTTGGCATGGCTGTTCGCCCTTCCAGTAAAAACTATCTTCCCCGTCATCAAGAAAGGCGGACTTAGCTGGTGAAGGAAGGAGAAGAAATCAAATTCACACATTTTTTATTTGATCTTGCAGGGAAAGAAAGAAACAGGTGCACATATCTTATATCAGAAAAGATTCCCTATAGATCATGTCACACCACATGAAATTGTGTTCATTACATTTTATACTAGGAATATTCACTAAGAAGTGACATGCTACTTTGATCAAGTCATTTTCCATAAATTTCAGAGGGTGGTAGCCTAGGTTGCATAGATGGTGAGTTGTGAATGAAAAGAAAATAAACCTTTTGCATAAGACATTACCATTCCATTCGTCATCAGAGAACCTGCTGTTGTTGAAATCTGCAACGTCGCAGAAGTTACTTCTTGAGTCGCTATATTGTTTGTGCAAGTGATCACTGAAAGTCTGCAGTTTTTGCTTTCTGCCCCCATCTTTAGCATGTATGCCAATTGGAGACCTATAACGGCTGTCATCTTGGAAGATTTTGCTACTTTCAATTATTGTGTCCTGTAAGAGGAAGATGAAAATATAGGGTCAGGAAAAAGTTAGAAATGAATGGAAGACAGCTAAAAGATAAGATGACGAGACTTCGTTACCACTTCGTTCTCAAAGTCGTTGAGCCTTTCCCTGACATGTGATGTATTTGGTTGACCATTTACCATCCATGGAGAGGAGCACCGGTACACAAAGGTTCTTTCACATCACAAGTTACATAAAATCACTGATTTATATCCTAAGTGGTTACATATTACTGCTAATGTAAGAGAAAACAGTATAAATAAATAAAAGGAAAAACAAACAAAATGCAAACAAATGCCAAGAAAAAACAATTTCCTCGTGAATACTAATCACCTGTCTGATGGTTGTGGAGAATTAACTGGAGTTTCCGTGTTTATTTTACCTAATCCTGAAAGGAGAAAGTAAGAGTCACACGAGAAAGGCACAGTAGGATATCTTGTCTAAAAGACTGATCATGTTCTAGGGATACATGGAAAGTTAAAAATATCCACCACTCTGTGATCTCTAAGACCTATACCTTCAACTGAAAAGGCCATGTGGGCCTCAGACGGAGAACATTCTTCCAGGTTGGTTGTTGTATGATCATCACCAACCAAATCAAAGACAGATAACTCTGAAAAATATATAATGTCCATATCAACTTAAAATTTGAGACTTACAGATGGCTTACATTCTGATAAGCATGCAGCTAAAAGTGATTGCGAAGTCAAACCAGAATGAAAAAAAAACTAAAGTGAACCTTTCTAGTTTCTAGATATTAACTCAATACTAAAGTTATAGTGGTTACTTACTCCGCTCTGTGCCATCCATCAGATCTGCTGTGGTGTTTGCTTTCTTGAAATCATTTGTCTGGTTGTCAGTGTTTGCTTTCTTGAAGTCATTTGTCTGGTTGTCAGGGAGACTAAACAAAGTCCTGTAATACAGTAAAGCATCAAAATTTCTATGAAATGTGCAGTTCTATTAGCAAGATAACCAAGATGATATACATGCTGAGAAAGAAAACATGTGCAGTGGCCTTATGTGAGAGCAAAACAAAGAAAACTGACTTTACCTCTTAGAGGAAGTAGGTTCTGCTATATGGTTAAATGAACTTCCTGCATCATCACATACAACATGAGCAGAAGAGGACCAGATTCGTAGATCATGAGTTTTGAGACCTTACCTACTCCGGAAATGTTGTCCTTAAGGCTGTAGAAATCAGCATCCAGATCTTGCATTCCTTTTTCCGTTAACAAGCGACACAAACAAGAAGAAAGCAAAGTGGAATTATATGTCATGTTGTCTGAGCGATAAAGCAAATAAATGGTCCATAAACTGACTCCAATTATGACTCAGAACGACTGCTGGAAGTCATAACAAGCATATACTTACCATTTTCTGGACAAGAAAGTTTGCATTCAGGAGTAGCGGTTGACAAGTTCAGCAAATTGAGAATATCCAGAGATTGGTGTTCTCTTGAGTGTTGGTTACTATTGTTTATATCATTAGTACAGCTCTCAGACCCAACTGTGAGCTGATGCTGTTGCTGTCTCCTCTGCTCAAAGTATTGCTTTTGCCTTCAGATTCAACAAAGATGGAATTTAATATGTGAGCACTAGATGTCTTAGTGAGAAGCGTATGCTGACAAACATCTCATTGACAGAATAAGAAAGAGCTTACACACCTCTTCTTCACTGACGTGTGTGACTGAATGCCCCAAAAGTTGCCCAGAAAACAATAACAAGTCAGAATTAAAACAAATTAAAAGAAAAATAAGCTAGTATCCCAACACCCAGCTTTATCTTCACAGATTATAATGGATCTCTGAATCTGTATCCCAAACATCACTAAAAGGAAGAAGCAAAAGTCACTCACAGCGGCCACTTTCCGCCTCGATCCTCCCATCCATTGCAGCATTCTTGGCAATGCCGGTTCTTAGGGTTTGCAAACTGCACAAAGATCTCGAAATTAGAATTTCAACGTCACCACGAACAATTCGACCCAATGATTCCATAACTAGGTTGCGATTCATTAACAATCCTAATCCAAAATTTCCGATCAGATCCAAACGAATCTAGGAAAAATTTCTACGAGATCCCTAAAAAACATACAGATTCGAGAGAAGAGAAAGAGATATACTTAGAAAATTCGAGAAGCTTCGACAGTATCTGAATCGCGTCTCCAAAACGAAGCTCGGAGCAAAGAAACGATTACGAGAACCTAATAATTGCTGCTACACAACGATGAAGCTGATGATCCTCGATCAAATTTGCAGCTGGAGAAGTCAAAGACAATCCAGCGAACGGTCTTTCAAATTTCGAAAATTTCTTTTGAGAGCATTTGGTGTTTTTTGATTCCCGCTGCGTAATCTCTGCGAGTGCACATTATTCAATGACAAAACAATGGGCCTTATAAAGCCCATTCTTGATATCTAAATAAGCCTGGGCAAAATACCCGGTACTGGAAATAGTCGAATTTGTAATTTACTGATTGGATAAGGCCTGGGCAAAATACCCGGAACCGAATACCCGAACCGAAAAACCTCCTACCCGAAAAAAACCCGAACCGAACCCGAACCGAATCCAATACCCGAATGTACCCGAATATACCCGAACCCGAACCGAATCCAATACCCGAATGTACCCGAATACAAATATACACCTAAAAATATTAGTTATATTTATATTTATAATATCCGAAATACCTAAAATTACAATCATAAATCCGAATATATTAGGTATTTTAGATATTTTTGGTTATATTTGGGTAAAGAGTAACCAATGTATTTTCGAGAAATCGGGTATTTCGGTTAGATTTGGGCATATATGAGTTAAAAACCCGAACCCGACCCGAACCCGAAAATATTTCGGGTATTTTTGGTTATTTTCGGGTATTTTTCTTTTTTATTAAAATATCCGAACCGAACCGAACCCGAACCGAATTTTTAGAATACCCGAATGGATCTTGACCCCCTACCCGAAAAAAAAAAAGAACCGAACTCGAACGGGTACCCGAATGCCCAGGCCTAGGATAATCTTTCAACACCTCCCCAAATTTATTTGGTTTGAACAGGATTATTAACGTTGGAACCTAGAAAGTAGAAACCTCCAAATTAATAACTATGGTCCAAGACTCCAAGTCCAACAATCATGAGATTTTGAAATGATATAACATCAATGTCCATTCAAAACAATGGGCACCACTAATTATTGCAATCGATAGAACGAGCCATTTAAAGACATTTTACACAAAACATCTCACAAAAGCAAAACATGGGAATATTCAACAGATTTCACAAACATCATTATATAAAGTCATTTTGTTCTTTGTTCTTTTTGCAGAAAATTTAAAAGTTCCTTGGTTTCATAACGATTGTGGAGTGGTTAAGGATGTGCAAGCTGAATTGTCCACCTTTCTCACTAGTATCCACTTTAGACTGTCCTGGAGGAGGAAGCAGCTCGAAGTTTTGGACCATCCTACCAATGGTGATTCCCAAAATGGGCAATGCTAATATAATCCCGGGACAGCTTCTACGTCCAACACCAAACGGCACAAACCTGAAGTCATTACCATTCGCTTCCACGTGCGCTTCTTCTTCAAAGAACCTCTCTGGTCTAAACTCTTCAGGTTTCTTCCAGCTGTTGGGATTGTTTGCTAGCCACCAAGCATTGACAAGGATTTTGCTTTCTGCTGGGATATCGTAGCCAGCGAGCTTGGCGTCGTGGAGGTTCATGTGAGGCACGAGGAGAGGAATCGCCATTCTTAGACGAAGTGTCTCCTTGATCACTGCTTGAAGGTATGGAAGCTTGTGAAGCTCAGGCTCAGTCACTTGCACACCAGGTCCAAGAACCGTGTCGATTTCATTCCTTAGCTTACTCTGGATTTCAGGATGGTTCACTAGCTCCGCAATTCCCCATTCGATTGACCACAATGTTGTCTCAATCGCTGTTTCAGCAGAAATCAAGAAATCAGCATCACAAAACTGTACAAATCCCCATAGCCTCTTCAGGGGAGACCAAAAAACAATCTAGATGAGCCTAATTTGCTATTATTGTTAACAATTCCAAATTCATAGGATTCACATAAAACACTAATGTCCAATTCCTTATGCAAGCAGAGACGTCTAAAGGATTGATTACGTATCCTACAAGTAAGAAATAGAAGTTACCAGCGACGTTGATGTTCTCGACGATGTAAAGAACGTTGTCCTCATTGATTTCTCCCTTCTGTTCAGCTTCAAGGATATGATCAATGGCACATTTCAATCCTTCACTACCTGTAGGCTTAGAACTCGCAATTTGCCTGTAAAATTGATGCACCAATGTCAATTTCCAAAATCCCTAAAATCAAACTCATAAATAGAAACAACAACGAACTCACTTCCTCTCATCAACGAAGTACTTCTTGAAAAGAGCGATTCTTCGATCCTTCACATCTTGACAAATCTTCAAATAACCTCTAAGGAATGGTCTAAGGATAGGAATGAAATCTCCATAGTTGTACTCAAAGCTCTGAGCTAATCGACTTCTCTCACCATTCAAAGCCTTAAGCCTAAGGAAAAGAGGATCGTCCTCACTCTCAAATCTTCTATCGAACATGATACGGAACATATTGTTATACATCATCAATTGCAAACGTTTCCTCAACACGATTCCTTTAGTAGCAGAATCTGGATTCTTCTTCACATCTTCAACAACACTCGCAGCTTCAAATTCCCAACCTTCACGATTCTGTTGAACAACTTTGTTGGTGAAGAACGGAACCGTCATGATCCTTCTCATCTTCCTCCAATGCTCTCCGTAAACAGTGAAAACCATATCTTGACCTTTCCCGGTGAAAATGTCGAACACGACGTTTCTCGTTCTAGATCCAAACTCAACGCCTTGTGTGTGGAGCACTTCCTTGGTTAGATCCGGTGAAGAGACGACGACTAGGTTACGCTGACCCATCCTGAGGAGGAAGAGATCGCCGAATTTTTTAGCGTAATCGACGAGATTACGGTGGTTAAGATCATCTCCGACTTGAAGCCAGTTTCCGAAGATCGGAACCGGCATAGGACCTGGAGGTAGCTTCAATTTCTTGCCGCGGAGCTTAGAAATCACCGTGGCGAGAACCACCGCCACGAAGACGGCGATTAAAGACTTCTCCAACAAGAGAAGGTCCATTATAGTTTGTGTATCCGCAATGATTAATTTTTCCGGTGAGAAAATCGTCGGCGAGTGATTGAAAGCAGAAGAAGCTGCTGAAGAAGAAATGGAGAAGGAAGAGTGGATTTTATAAGAGGGAGAGGTTTGGTTGGTTTGAGAAATGAGAACCAACGGAAATAAGTAAACGGCGTTAGGTACGTGGGAGTTGGTGAATGATGAGATAATAAACGGCGTTAGTGGGCTTGGTGTTGTTGATGGGGGTAGGTAAAGAAAGACCACAAAGTGAAAAAAAGGGTTTGGTGAAGAAGGTAGGAGGAGGATGTGATTGTTTTCATCTCTATCAACTAAAGTTCTCTTTGTCTTTCTATTTGAATGTGTCATCAAGAAACAACTAAATTGTTCTACTAAAAAAAATTGAAACCAAAGTATTTGCTTAAAATAGTCATATACCTTATGTTGAAATAAGAATTGTATATGGTGACTACATCTTCTTTATTGGTATACATTGATTATTTAGATGCACGTTCAATAAAGTTACATTGGTTTGGTTTATTAAAAGTTGTTTAAAGGATTTTTAAACGGCTGCTTTGAGCTATAAACTTTAAAAGAGTTTCGGTTACAAGTAAACCGTGAGTCAAATTTTGATGGCCGTGTAACTAATTGTTGGAAAGCGTTAGCGTATTAGAGAAAAAAAAATAGAATACCAGCAAAAGAGATAGATGATCTAAAAAAAAAAGTTTGGAAGGTATTATTAATAACGATCATGCTCAGCTTAACATAATTTACATAAATATATTTTGGAAGCAACTTGTAAATAAAAAGACTTCTACAAAGAGAATCAAAAGTATCGAGGAAACAAAAGAGTTGGATTGTATGGTTGAAAGAGGGAAACCGGAATTCAAATTAGTTTCAATTAAGTGAAGCAAGAAATAGGATCATTGCTCTTTAAAATGTAAATGGTGATTAGATTGAGTAGGATTATGGTATAATAGAGACCGTGATCCTATACTATTATTTGGGGAGTACACTTTATAAGATATCATTAACTAACCTTCCCTTTTGTAAGAATTTACTTAAGAATGCCATTACAAAAATCTTCTTTTAGAACAAATTTCACTCAATTTATTAAGGATAAACAAGTAAAATACTAATTTATGTCATTTAATTAAATTATAAAACGAAAATCTGTTATTTTTTTTTTTTAAATGACCAATCGAAATGAACATATAAGATTTGATATCTAACTTACCATATTAATTTGTTATTAATCATTAAACTTCACCTCTCATCTTTATATGATTATATTAATATGAAACAAATAAATCATCATATCATCTACATAATAAAAAAAAAAAGTAATTTTTTTCTACATATGCCAAGATTTGAATTTTTTAAAACGCATATAAATTGTTCAATCTATAAAGGAAACAATTAAACGGGTCAAAAATTCAGACTTGAGTAATATATTTCTTTTACACAAAAATAAAGTCAACAAAAATTCCGACTGAGCAACGGGTCAGAATTTGAATATTTATATTCGATTTCATACATTTACTTTTTTGAAATGTATAATTTTATATACTACAACAAAAATTTAAATATTTTAATTTGCAACATTTAAAATAAGTTTTACTTGATATTTTTAGAGAATATCATCAATACTTAATAGTTCAAAAAGTTAAAAATTATAAATACTCTAATTTGATTATTTTTAAAAATATTTATAATAGGTAGAGGGTTAAATATAATATATTATATGATGAAATGAGTTTTGATCCTTATAACTATTGGAATAGTTATATTTAATTTCATAATTTGTTTTTTGAAATTCATAATTTTATAAACTACAAAAAAGTTTAAAGATTTTAATTTGGAATATTTAAAATTAGTGTAGAACATTTAAATATGGTTTGACACCTCTTAATATTTGAAAATTTGATTCCGCAAGCAATTTTAGAATTAATGAATAATAGATTGTGCACGCAATATTTTAAAATAAAATATTGAGATTCTAAATAAAAATATAGATTCCACGCACGGGTTGATTTTGGTATTATTATATACTAAATATATGTTTATAACATATTCGATTATGCGAATAATTGGTAAATTCTGTAATTATAAATCTCAAACAAATTCTGTAATTAGATTAGCTCAAACAAATCTCTATTTCAACAACCAAAGAATTATAAATTGAAAAAGAATTTTCTAAATTAATTCAAAATAATAGCTAATTTTCTTAATTAATTCAAAATAATCTATGATTCATTTATGATATTTTAATTTTTGATCTAACTGAAATATATGCAATCCTATTTTGTGGTTGTTAACATAAATTAACTCATTGTAACTCATTGTTCAAAAAATATTACTTTAAAAAAAAAAATTATTTTCCGTTTTCATATATCCATAATTGAGTATTATAGAAAAAATTCTATATTTATTCTAATATTGTATATAGGGACTGACAAAAAAATTAATATTTTTTCACTTACTATTATAATATATTAAAACTTAGTTCTAATATATATATTATGTAAATTTTGTAATAAATAAAATTTAACCCGTACATTAGTACGGGTGATGATCTAGTTATGTCTTTAAGCACGTACAAGTGGTGCATTCAAATATTTCTCTGATTTATATATTTTGAGTAAACTAAAACTGTTTATATTTATATATATTGGTGCATTCGAATATTTTCCTTGATTATGATAATCTATTTCTAAAAGAGAATGTCATATTGATAAAATATAATAATAAAAAAAAAACAGAAAACAAACATTTACCAATAAATTGGCTAGACAACCTGCCCAATTAACTAACTCTTGTAGAGAATTTTAAAACTAAACAATGTGCACAACATTGCCAATGGTTTTGGACTTTTGCTTATAAATTGAACGGTGGAAATTGAATAGAAAAAACTTCGTTTGAATATTTTGTATCGATTTTCATTTTTCTTATAAAATTATTTGTAGTGATATTATGGTCATGAATGGACACATTACGTTTTGTATCTATGTGTTGACATTTAGCTATATAAATCAAATATGAACTCAATATGAATTTCAATGACTTTTTTTTTAAGTCAAAGAAATCTAAATTACACTGTTTTCCCCCATTTTGAATGACAGGAATTATCGAACAAGAGAAAAACAATTAGTCTTGGACCTATGGTCGGAATTTGAACGTCATGAGACGCCGTCAAATTTGACACCGTTAACGAAACATAATGATTTTTTTTTGGTTATAAAAAAAGAGAAACAACTAGTGGTGGTTAAAATATACGCGCGGCACAGTACAAGGCTTAGAATTTGGCGCATACACATCCATGAACTCTTTCAATGTCAAGAGTCAATTTAGCAACAACCACTCTATTGACTTCAATAAATATTAGCTTACTATATCTTGCAGTCGTAAATATAATTTCATTTTACATTATATTTGTTGTGGCGTATTTAGGATAGGAGAAACACTTGTAGAAAAATAGATTTAAAATTGAGTAATAAATAATATAAAGAGATACACACCTACCATTACCACGAAAGACAGCGACATGTAGAAATGGTGCTACCTACCTCCCCACCATATCCACCACCACACTACCATTACCCAAATTTGTTACCATACTTTCGTTCTCCTCATGTTATTATTCCACGAGTCATCATCACCTGCAATCATGACCTTACATGGGCTTTCTTACTTGGGCACATAGATACATTGTAACATGGACACATTGGCCAGAATTGTTTAGTTTATTAGCTATGTTTACCAAAAATGCCCATAATGCCACGAAGCAGTAGAGACAAGAGATCTCCTGTTCTTCTTGTGCCCCTACTCTTCTCAAATTTGGTCAGCTTTATCTCGAGGCTTTCTACGTCACAGATTCACTTCACGATGGGACACCATACTTCCCCTCCTCACAGACCCGTCCTCACCTCGGCTGCTTTTATTCGTATTAAGGTATACTTTTCAAGCCACCTATCATGGTATATGGCTTGAACGAAACGGAAGACGTCATGGAGAAGCTCCTAACCCGTCTTCTTATCTGACAAGATCGATAGACAAGAACATCCGTAACCGGTTTAGCACTTTGGCGGGCTCAACATACTTCGAAGGAGGCCTTCGCTATTGGTTTCAAACTCGTGGCATTTAATTCTTTTTTCGATTTAATTCTTTTTCGACTTTGATTTCCACTTTTGGCTTTGCAAGACGCACTCGTTGTAAAACAGTCTTTTTTTGGTGACTATAATTTTACAATCATACAAAAAAAAAAAAATGCCCATAATGTATCGGGTTCTTTCTTCCAATAAGGCAATACATTGTATTTAACGGATCTAAAACCGTGTGATCCTATTTTTTAAAATCTTATCGGCTGATCTGGTAAGTTTTGGTAGAAACGTACTAAAATATTACAAAGTGGATTAACATGAATGTGATATTTATGAGACTCAAACTATGGGAAAGTGTTTTGTGACTTTATCATATTCCCAAATCTCCTAACCACTGGACTACAACCATGTGGGCAACCGTGTGATCATGATACGTGTACTAAAACAAGTTACCATATTATATGTTATGGTCAGGCCCGGTTATAGAGGTGTGCAACTGGAGCACTAGAACAGGATCCATTTTAAATTTGACATTTTTCTTTAGTATTTAAGGCCCAATTTTTATAAAAAAAAACTTTTTAGAAAATACCCAAATTTTATGAATGATATTATATACACCACTTTTTTGTTTCTAAAATTATTGAGCACCGGGTCAATATTTTAATCGAGCCGGGCCTGGTTATGGTTGTGATATTTATCATTTTTTTTGAACTCGTTAGATGTTTATCAACTTTAATAGTTTAGATAAGTGTTACGTAGGATAAATTGTAGCAGTTACGGCTCAGACAAAAAATTTAATATTAAAAATCTAAATTGAATAAGAATAGTAAGATTTTTTTGGTGATCAAATTGAATAATGTATGTTGTAAGATGATGGAAATAAATAAGTAGAGCTCATTAAACCAAAACTAAGTTACAAAATAAGTAGAGCTCATTAAACCAAAACTAAGTTACATGTGTTTTTAATACAATCAAATGTTTACCATCGATTTTTGAGAAATGAGAAAATATTACCATTGATTTTTACTATATCAACATACATTATTCAACTCCAACCTATTTTCAACATCAACTTAACGGCCCTTAAAACAACATTTAAGTCCAAAAGAACACAAAGCATGTCCTGCACATAGTCATTGTTCTTACACTTCACGTTGCTAAGACCACTACTCTCTTACCCTTATGACCTGCAACAACTCTCCAAAGCCTGTCGTACCCATCTCTGTAATGCTCAAGAGACATACAAAGCTGCCTTATTGCTTCTCTTTTCTGCTCAGCCATTTCCGATGCAGATACTCTCGTCCTTTCCACTTCTTCTGTAAGCTCACTCGACCGTCTTCTCAGCCTCACTTGCTCCATATGAAGCTCCTCCATATGCTTTTCCATTTCCTTTATCTTCTCTTCTCTCTTCCCAATCTCTTCTCTTAGCATATTGCTCTCATCTCTCATTACGCTGATTTTCTCGGCTTCTCCTCTAAGTTTCTCCTCTGTTTCAGCTTTCTCTTCCGTGATCAGCCTTATATGTGATTCCAGCTCTCTCAGTTGCTCTCCAAGTTGGCTTATTTCTTCGAGCATCTTCGACATTTCTCCCATGATCTGTGCTTTCTCGGGAAATATCTTTTGTTCAGCATCAGAAACCGCAGTTTTCAGTGCCCTTATCTCGTTATCTCTGTCCTGTAAACTAGTTTTCACCATTGCTAATCTCTCCTGCAACTTCAAGACTTCTTTCTTCTCCGCATTGAGCTTGTTTATGTAGGTATCAGTGTCTTTCTGAGCCAACTCAAGCTCATGCTGTAAGCTCTTCAGCTTCTCCTCAGCAGCTTTACCGTGTTCAAGCTCAATTTTTAGTGAATAAGTCTCTTTCTCAAAGTGTTGAAGCTTCTCTTTCGCGATACTCAGCTCTTCCTCCAAGGCTAGCACTTTCGTAGCTGCTGCATCTTCTTTAGTGTCCTCTTTATCGAAATCAAGACTCTTTTCTTCAGCACCAAGATGAGCTTCTGTGTCAAAGGACATGAAGCTCTGAAGCTGATTCTTCAGATTAGCGATCTCTTCTTCGTGCATTCGCATCTTCTCATTAGCTTCATGAAGCTCTCCCTCATAAACAGCAATTTTCTGAAGGAGATCAACATTATTATCACCATTAACACTTTCCTGCTGGAGAAGGAGCTTCTGTTTTGTCTCTTGAAGCTCAAGTTCTAAATCAGCCATCCTTCGGATCAATGCCTCGTCAGCATCTTCATCATTGGCAGAGGAATGATCAGAATCAGAACCGGAATCAGTCAAAGACGATGAATCTTCCTCTTCTTTATGGCCAGATTGACGACGACTCAACTTCTCTTTGGTAGGAGATGATAACTCAAGAGAGCTCTGTGACTGGATCTCAGATGTATGGTTCTTCTGAAGTTCACCACTAGCTTGATCATAACGCTCAGCCAATGCGCGATACATGCGGTAGAATTCCTCGACAAGCTGGATTAACTCGGGACGCTTCTGGAAATACATCTGAGCTTTCTTGGCAAAAGAGTCTGCGTCTTCTTCAATCAGTTTCAACATGTGGTTCACTCGGTCATCCATCTCTGACAAGCCAAAACAAGAACAAGAAAGAAAACGTCAGATTTTTGTATCTTTTTTGAGTAAGTGGAGATCTCAATGCTAAGTGAGGCAACATACTCTCTAGATTCTCTGCGAGCCATTTTGAGTTCTTGGGAGAATTGTGACTATCCCACCACCATGAGTGTGATTTCTTGGTCATAGACCTCTTAAACTGCTTCTTGCTCTGAGCCTGAAAACATCAGACAAGTAAGTCAAATGTTAAAACAAAAAGACTAAACACAAGGATCTCATCAGCTTTTTTAAGTCTTATACATTGAATATCACAAAGGTTTCTTACCGTAGATGAGGCCATGACCGTGGAGTGCAGAGAAACCCTACAAGAAAAGATCAAGAACTTAAGTCATTTGACAAACTAAAAGGCAATTTGAGGTTCAAAGAAGATGACTTTCTCGGATTGAAGATGTGCTTGCGTTGAACAAAACTAAAGAAACAAATTAGATGAGATAAGAGGAGAAAAGAGGACACGTGAAGATTCAACAACCCATTTGACATTTGTCACAAGTCTCTAGAAATCCCAGAGATAAGTTTAAGCATTATTTATCCACATTTTTTTCAGCAGAGAAATCAATGAAACTTAATACTAAAATATTGGCAAATTGCAGAACGAAAGAAGAAGAGACAAAAAAAATTGCAGAGAGAAAAAAGCTTACTTTACGCAGATGATGCAAAAAGACAAGAAGCTTGTGACTGAATAATACTCACAAAATGGCCTCTCTAAGCCTTTATATTCCTTCTATCGTTCAAGATGATTTGTTAATCTAATCATCTTCTTTTTTTCACGTTCTCTAAAAACACACAAAAAAACTAATCAAGAAGTTAGTTTCTCACAAGATTCTTGAAAATTGGAAACGCGGCCAAGAAAGTGAACACGCTCTCTCTACACGTCTTTAACTCCACAGCTACTTATGACTCACCTGCTTATTTTAATCTCCTCAAAAGTCTTTTTTTTTAACAATTTTTTTCAAAGACTCAATAATTGTGTTATGATATGGGAGAGAGCATTAATGGCGGATCTTCAACGCCCAAGATTTTGCATGTGGCTCTATCGTGATTCGAGTTCTGATCCATCTCTCTAGGCATAGAGCGAGAAAGAGAGAGAGAGAGAGGGGAGAGATCAAATCAACCTTCAACAAACTTATGGACATAGCTAAAGTCAATGATGAAGAAAACATAGGCTATGATGAGGTGAAGAAAAAAAAAAAGAGTAGATAACTTGTGGATTCTTGATGTTAAGTTTAGAGAAACAAAAGTTAAGACACTTCTCTCTTTCTATGTATTCATCAATCTACAACAAGCAAATTAGCAACAACAAAAAAGAACAGAACAAAACAAAGATCAGAGGGTGTTTTGTGTATCATCAATAGCTCTCATTGTTTTCATTGGGAAAAGGTTCGAACATCGCACGCTGGTTTGAGTCCATTTATCACATCACTCTGCTTCACATTCTCGCACGCAATAACAATTGGTATATGAACCTTAAATCCCAACCAATCAACACTTAGTTTCCCTCTCAAGAACACATCAACCACAGCTTCAAGCGTCTTCTCTTTGTTTGTCAGCAATGTAGCATCAACATCGTAGACTTTGGATTTTCTGAGTCTTGTGAGGATCTTCAAAGAAGTAACGTTTCCCGGGTCCTGCTTGAATCCAGGAAGCATTTTCTTTCCGAGGTTTATGTTCTCAGAAGATATATCAGCTTTCATGGGGCTGTAATATAGAACCGTCTTGTCGTTGTTATTAGAGAGCTGAAGCACCGTGTTCAAGTTGGCATTCATCAGAAGATCTGTCGATGATTTGGCGACATCCAATCTCGAGAACTTGAGGTTTGTGACAAGCACCTGAGGTAGTATAGATTTGATTGAAGAGTTTGCAGACAATCCTACCAACAAGACGATTATAAGGACAATGGAAACAAACATGCAGGTACACGCGCAGCATTTCCTGAAGCACCCAGAGGCACATATTCTCTTGTCCTCCTGACCGATATGATCCACAAAAGAACCCGAGTTTCTACTCCGATCGGCCTCTTCTTCCTCTCGAAAGCCAGACAGTCTCGACCCGGAAAGAGGCCGCTTGAAAGACGAAGCCTTTCCCGGGTTTTCAACATCATCAAATCCGTTTCGAGATACAGAAGGGCTTGAGAATCTCGAACTCAGATCAAAAGAACCTTTGCCATAGCTACTATCTTCCCCTTCTCCTTCTTCCTCTATAACTTTTTCGAGGACGCATTGTTTCGCAGCAAACTCAGGAAAAACCAATGCAGGATCTCCAAATCCGGAATCCCTCCCAGGGGGAGGAGGAGGAGGAGGAGGAAGCAGCTCCGACATTGGAGCTCTGTTTTGGATTTCATGAAAATCAGATTTGTTTTCTCTCTCAAATCACAAGAAGCTGGTTGGAAGATAAGTTCAAGGGTCATAATTCTCTTAACGATAGATCAAGGCTGGCTCTTTCCAACAGATATCATTCGTTAATCTATTGTTGGCTCCTATGTCAAATTTCAATCGTCTAAATATAGCAATCTCCAGTTTTTTCTGTAACAAGCAATTTCAAAATCACTAAATTTGCCTCAACTACTCTACCAAACGACTAAACACTTTGAATTCCATTAGATCCCAAAAGACTATGCCTTTATGAATCTATCTTTACTCATTGAAAATCCCCAAAATAAAAGTTGAAACTTTGACTAACCGTGAGCCATAATCTTCACTTTTTTAGCCTTTGCAGCGGCACTTGCACAGGTATCCGGTGGAAATTATGCCGAAGAGTTGTCGTCGCCGGTGTATCCACCGCTGCATTTGGTGCTGGAAGAGAAACGAAAATTGCGGGAATAAGGAACGTCAATACTGGGCCTTAATGGGCTTAAAGTAAATTTCTATTGGGCTTAGCTTTTTGCTTTTTTGTTTTTCTTCCGAAAATTTAAACTACAATTCCAACAAATTGGTCTCATAAAAAAAAAAAAAACATGGAAGCAAATAACAATGGTTTATGAACATCAGCTATAGAGCAATGACGCTTTTAAAATCAATGAAGCAATAAACGATTCTCTTATAAAACACATCAAGAAGAAAGACTACTAGCTGTCAAACGGCGATGACCGATTCATCGAAAACTAAGCGAAAGAAAGCTTTTTACTGGTAGCCCGCAAAACACTGAGCCGTAACACTCAAATCACTCAAACACCAACTCCATTCGCGTCACATGAAAGATGCACTCAGAGCTTTTTGAGAACGGAACTACACAAACCAAAGAAGACGATAGAAGAGATAATTAACGGTTTATTAACCAACTAAATCGAAACCAGTGTTTTTTTTATTATCCAATCTCATTAAACAATAAACACACACACCCCAAAAAAAATCACGCATCAAATAAAAAAAGCACACTAGTCTAAAGGAGTTATACACAAAAGCCCACACACACTACACAGACCAAAACACAAAAGTACATGATCAAACGTTTTCTTCATGAGATTGAGAATCTTCGTCTCCTTGGTTTAGTAATATCAACACCAGCAAGATCTTCATCTATGTTAGAAGTATCTTTAGAACCATTTTTAAACGGATTTAACTTCCCAAGTTTCTTCGAAACAGAAGAGAAGAAAGTATGTTTGTTCTTCTTACTACTCACCAACGAAGACGAATTCGAAGAAGAAGCTCCTGCGCCATTCTTATTCTTCTGCATATCCGAAACATACATCTTCATCTTCATCAGTTCACTTCTCAAAGCTTCGTTTTCTTTAGCCAATGTAGTATCAGCTTGAAGTTGGCTACGTGTCTTTAAAGCTTCAGGGAGAACAACTACTGCTCTCTCTTCTTGTTCTTCGACTCCGCTTCTTAGCTTTAACTGATCGTAGTAAAGAGCGTGAAGAACGATGTTCACCGGTAATCTCTTGTTCTGTGAAGCGTGGAGACGTGCGTCGTAAGAAAGCTTTAAAGGATCCATTGAGCTACATACTTTCTCTCTTTCGATCTCGTCTAGATTCGGATGAGCTTTCAAGAATATGTCTATCGCTCTGTAGAGATCGTCGTCTGATTTTCTAGCGGATTTCGGGACAAGATTCGCGATTGCGTTGAATTTTGAGATCGTTAGCTCTCCGTAAGTAGCTATCTCCGCTAAGTAAGAATCAACTGTTTTAGCTACTCTTTGAAGCGAAACAGAGCAGACTCCTCTGTTGAAGTCTCCGCCGTTGAAAACACCGACGTTTTTCTCTTTTTCGACGAAAGCAGAGATGATTCTTCTGACACTATCGAGATCTAGTAACCGTTCGCCGTCATAGGTGAAAGACGGGATCAAAAGATCATCGACAGAGACGTGCTCGAGAACGACTGAGATTCGCTTCTCGAGCTCATTCTTGCAGGTCAAGGAAGTGTCCAAGAAGACGGCGCAACGGAGGAGAGAACAGAGGAAATTGATGGGGAAAAGTCCTTTATCTGAAGGTAAAAGAGAGACGATAGATTGAACAAGATCTCTCTGTTGGGATCTTTCGTCGGAATCGTCATCTCCGGGATCAGAAAACTTGACTCCTCTGCCGGAATGGTCTCTGACGAGATCTCTTAAGGATTTCTCGGTGTAGCTGATGATTGCAGAGGCTAAGGAAGAAGGTTTGACTCCTCTCTGCTTCATTGAAGATACAACGTCGGCGAAGAAGTCGACGTCTAAGATACAAAGCTCCTCTGTCCACCAGTTTGGTGGTGTTCGACATGGAAACATTGCCTCGTTGCAAGCCTTTTAAATATCAAAATCAATAGATAGAAAACGTATCAGATTATGTAACCAAGCATTACAAAAATTCATGGATGTTATAATATTACACTCGTAATTCATTTTGGTTGAATTAACATATACTTGAGACTCAAGGAACTGGAATTAGTACATAGATAGAAGTATATGGTTGTTCAATTTAAGAATCGGAAACCAAATCGAAATAAATTATTTGAAAAAGCAGCGTAAAAAGAAGGGAAAGAAACACTAAAACGGAATTAAATATGAAATATTCCTATCGAATCTTAATCGTAATCATAGTCTGACTCGGACAGTAATCATAGATCTAAACTTTAATATTAAAATAGGGTTTTGTTTTAAATAAGCAACACTAAAACCAAAAAACACTGACTGATATCAAACTGATTTTTCTGAAAAAAAAATTGATAGTCGAAATTTTTAAAATCAAATTCAAACTAATATTTGAAATATAACCATATATTCTTGTCATTTAAAGAGTACATATTAATTGTTATATTTTCGCATTAACAAAAATTTAGATTTTCTTTGAATTTTTTTAATTAGACATCGGATCTTACCTAAAACTGTACTAACTACTAGATTGGGTTATTTCGGTTACTACTACATATGCAAAAAGAAAAACCTAAACATTAACCAAAATGGAGATCTAGCACTTAAAAAGAAGTGAGAATGAGTTATGACTTATGATTAAATACCTTAGCACCAACGACGTCGACACAACGGCGGACGAGACCAAGATCACGAGAAATAGGAAGGAGAATCTCGCAAGACTTGAGGACGACGATGGCTCCAGAGAGACTAGAGAGAGCCACCTGTGAAAGAAAGTCTTGTGTCCGACCAGCAAGGTTGTTGTCGCAGTACTTGTCGGTCATCTGAAGGAACTCTGCGGCGCAATGAAGAGCCGCCACGTTCTGAACGGTGATCTCGAAGTTAACGCCGTAACAGAACTTGGCAGCTTTCTCAAATATCTCAGGACCTCCGGGGATATCTGAGAGATCGATTCTTGTCACGTCGCTGTCTTTTGATTCCATTATTAGCTTCCTTATGTAGTTGCTCTTCGCCACTAACATGAACTATATATACGATAATGAAAATAAATAGTAAAAATTTCGTGTAACTAAAACATGTAATCTAATGGTTTGTACTAATATCGGCATTCTATCATTACTCTGTATAAACCGAGTTCATGGGATATGAAAAATATAACCTTGTATTAAAAATGATGTGAATAGTTAAAGAACCAAGAGTTGTTGTTTACCTTATGAAGAGAGAAATTGGCTTCTCCGACTTCAACTATAACATCCGTCGGAATATCTTGAGAAAAAACCCTACAAAAATACATATA